ACAGTAGCGTTGCTAGATCGAAAAGCGGTATTTACCTACTCACTGTGAGGATTTAAGGCAATGTAACCATATAGAAATCAGCCTGACCTACATGGTGTGTAGGATCCAAGGTTTTGTAATTATCTGACAACTAAGTTCCCGATCGATAGCTGCTACCTTCATGTATTAATCGATCTTGTATATCAGAATGACCCAAGGAACTATGCTGGTGGAACGCTTGTCCCCTCGAGGTCCTGCCATCCCAGAAAGGTCTGTTGGATAGGGATAAAACGAAAAGCAATTACCGTTGTAATGTAAATTACTTAACTACGACGGTAGTCTGATGGCGAAGTCCTACTGCTGCTAGCTGGATTAAGTGTAACAGGAGTAAAGTGTTTCCCTTGGATACCCAACAGTGCTACGCTGATGTTGCCTTCCCTATGGGAAGGGTGGATTTAGAAAGGTCGCCTACAAACATAGCACACTCCTACCTGCTCTACGGTCTTCCGGTGCCGGTGGTATGGGTCCTCTGTAGCCTGTTAGAACAACCGGACCTCCAAACAACATCCCGCTTAAGGCTGCGTGTGACAAGCCTTAAGCAGATGTCCTATGGGCTTTATGATCACACAAATCTTTTTCTCTTTTGGGTACCTTAGGAAAAATAGCCTTCCACGGTTTGGGCGACTTCCCGCACACTTCTAGTATTGCACAAGACCCGATCAAACATGACCTATACTTCTCGTTTGCCTTCACCTCCTGGTACTAATATTAGGATTCTTATGCCTTACACAACCTCTCACTCTGCAACCATGGACAACAATCAAAGACATTGAAATCTCATTCCTAGTTTCCTAAGACCCCACCATCGACTTCATGTAGGAGCTTTCAACGTCCAAACCTCATGCCGCATCGCTCACCCAAAACAATGGAATCTCTAGCCATGGATGTATGATGTGTCTCTGAGACACATATACGGGACCCGAGTGTGGTTATCATATACAGCTGGCCATTGTAGTGAGTCTTCAAAATTCGCCTTGCAAGTATTTGGAGATCCAGTGGCTAGCCTAATTGGAGTGCCTAACTAATGACTCTTAATTTTATGTGGAAGGTTGGATTAGCCTAAATTGCTGGTCATCTACATGAAACTTGCCATTGCCTTCTTTTTCATCAAGACAGCAGCTGGTTATTGCCTGACCACTATACAGAATATCTTCTCGATATTGTAGGAGCTGAAGGGAACAGTTTTTTACCACCAGGATAACTTGACCAGGTGAAGGTTGTAGCTATCAGTCGGGTATCGAAAACACCACTTGGGTAGTGTTGATGTTCGATGTACAGTGCTAGAGAAGAAAGTCACGATATGGAATAATGTATCTGCAGTGCTTTACTGGGGTTGTAGCTTATTAGTTTAGGGTGTCGGATTTCAACCAATGGGACACGGGTCCAAGCATACCTTCTGCCGGAGTTTGGGCAACCAGGTAGTATCATTAGCCCTCACACAATAGGTGTGGCCCGTGGCATGGCTGGCTGCACAGATATGTACAAGATTGCTAACTTGGGTAAACGTTGCAAGTAATGAGCTTCTACCCACCACGAAATACGATGTCATGGGAAGGTTGACGGGTGCGGAAAGTCTCAATGCATGTGACCTCCCATGTTTCAGAAGTCTTCATCTTATGTCATGAAACCTACAAATGATTAATGCAGAGATTAACCTGGAGTTTTAAGTAAAAAATGTAAGCCCATTAGTTAGGTTATAACATTTATCAACTAAGGCGATTGCGACTTTTGTTGTGCTTGTCTAGTTGTGATCTATGCCAACGTACAATGCTAGCCGAAGTGGGTTTAGGCTGGAAAAAGTTCGAAGGTGGATTAACTGAAATTTCGAATCAGTTCATGAGTTCTCCGACTATTAACCTGGGCCGTATAGGAATATGTAGGTTGCCGACTTCACGTATTTGACTATTATCACCTGCGTAGCATTGCTCATATCTGATGGAACTACTACTTTGGAGAGATCCATCTTCCTAGACTATAATGTCACTATCACTTGCCTTTTTCTAATAAGTCTATCGAATATTACCTACTATCATTGTTTTTTCTGTGTTCCACTTTCATCCTTCACCACTGTTCATGCCAATCGTGAAGACCTATTTAATTTTTTTAAGCTATATTTTTTATTCATCATGCTTCGAACAAACCGTCTTAGTGGATCAGTTAGTCCAGAAGAGGTTGAAGAGCACCAGTGGTACTTAATTATATTCTGTCGCAAATTACTGGTTTTTGTTGTTACTGCTTTAGAATGGAAGGATAATTGCTGCAAACTAGTTATCTATGAATTCACTCTTTTCGTGATCGAATTGGACATAGGAACTTTTGATCTGCGATATTTATGCATCCACTCGGATGCGAACTTCCGTTCTGGAATTTACATATGATCCGAGTTTAATTAACTACTGCATAAAGAACATTACTCTTCAACCGTTACTGTCTAATAATGTGAAATGGTGGCGTCATCTTTCTGCACTTGTCATTAGCCTGACGTTATTTGTCGTGAGTAGTTCTTACTTTTGAAGTCACTACTTGTTAAAAACAGGTGACTGTCGAACAAAATCACACATAATCAACTTTATTGGTTTGTTGAAGTAGGATTCAGGAAATATCATGAGGATGCTTTTCCTTTTGGCACAGTTTTTCTTCCCATCTACTGAAGCTATTCACCAATATAGCTTTATAAACTGAGGCATATAAAAGTCAGCAACGCAGTACTGGTTTATGTGTTAAATCATGCGTCAAATTCAACGCACGTGGGTGTATGATACTATTTAATCACTTAAATTGAAGTGGGTGACAGAAGTCTAACCCATCACTTACGGTTTTAAATTTGAATGTCTGAGACACTTAGCTACCTGTCCATATCAGCGAAACAGACAACGTAGAGCATGGGGTGATCGTGTAGTGAGTGGTGTGTTGCGACAGTTTGTATCAGCACCCCAAGGGATGTCTCTCGAGATTACATATACTTCATACTGACAAGTTCCAACGAACACAAAGCCGAAGTTCAGGAATTTCTGCCAATGTCCTCCAACCGCCTATTTTTCGGAATTTTGTTGCCGTTTTTGTGTCGAACTTGCGTAACAATAATGCGTATATCAGAAGGGAATATATTTTAAGTTGATTCGTCCTTTCGCCGTTAAATCAATGAAAATAACTTCTAGTATAATAAATACGTCTTGGTTGAGCTGAAAGTAAAGTGTAGTTGGCTTGAACAATGTTGTTTTTAGCAAATCATGCTTAACTGGTATAACTTATGTTTATATTAATCCCAGCGAATCTGAAATAAATAATCCTGACACTAAATTAAATATTTAGAACTGTTTGCAAGATCAACGCTTTCTTGTGTTTAGAGAAAGTCTATGCAGACAAACAGAAGGCATTACCAGTTTGTTCATGCAAACACTAAAAAATAATGCAATGATGCAATGTCCGCTTACTCGGAGAATACGGTTGAGATAAGTAGATTATATATATTTTTTATTACTAAACGTGATAACTGGAACAGACTTTTCAGATACATAAACAGTGTGTCGAAAAATATCACTTTCTCCAAAGAAATTGAATCCTATGTAAACCAATTGACCTTTTTAGACCGCATGATTAAAAGATAGCAGAACAACAATAAAATGAAGATAAATATACTTAAAAAGTCAACAGATTCGGATAGATATCCGGATTATTTTTCTGCACATACCTTAACCACTAAATTGACGGTTACCAATAGTCTCATCAAGAGGGCTAATCGTCTGATGACAGTCGAAGACAAGAATAAGGAGCTAAAATTAATTCGTTCTACATATGTAGTAAATAATGTTTGTAAACAATCTTGGAAAGTGTGGTGAAGAGTAGTCTGAAATGCTCTCCAAAGAAGTGGATCAGCACTGTAGTGTTTCCACATCGCGAAGAGACATCGGAAGAAATCAAAATTCTCAACATAACATAAATGTTCATTTGCGTATGACGAATAATCTTGATGGAGGTCAAAGATGTAATACCAACAAAAGGTAAACAGAATCGTTTCTATTAAGTAAAGTACTCAGATTGTGATGCAGAATATGTAGGGGAAATATTCAGGTAGGTGGATGCGAGGGTCAAGGGATATAGACAATGTCTCAAGAAAATTCCATAGGCCTCAGTAGACATTCGGAGATTGGTGTATGTTCAATAAAGGCGGGACATGTCTCTTCCTTTATTACTTACTGACTGTTAGTCACTCAGCCTGATGTCTTTTCCAGTTTTTTTCGTGTAATTACGTGACTTACTAGCTCTTTGACAACCCCTTCTTCTACACCCCTGCCTGTTTGTTGCTCCCCTCATCCAAAGCTCCTAGATTTTCTATCATGAAATATAAATTCCCATTGATCTTGACTGTGGTTTGTGATTATCAATCCTGTTTCCTCTATGACCTTATTGTTTATCCTGGGTTTCAAATCTTCCTTTATTTCTACATATTTAAAATATGTTGTCATTATTGTTATTAATATTTCATTTCACTTGTAAGCTGTTTGCAGCTGATGAAGGACCGTGAAATAAAATGACATCATTTTATTCTAAAAATATCTTTGTTCTTGCTTCGCCCAAATTTATCAAGGAGACTGAGTGTATAACAGATCTAAGTGTTCACATGTAATGTGTATTATCCATGCATTTAATTTATTTGTCTTATTTCTGAATCCTTCAAACATTTCTGTTTTGTGGGAAACCATACTTTTCGCTTGAGTGCAGGCTACCAATTAATCATTCAAGCGGTGACTAGTCGTATATAAGACCAAACTGCTTCAGATAGACACAGTTATGCGATAGCAAAATAACTATTTATTTTATTGCTAACATAATTTGTTTTTTGTCAGTTTTTACTGTGCTCTGCACTTATGCAGTTTATTGAATTACAGTAGAACTTCGAATGTGTTCTTATTCCACAAATGTATAGTTAGATTGTACCGTTTTGTTTTTTGTCCATGTAGGCCAAGTACTTGGTCCAACTAATTGTGTCTGGAGCTAGAGTCTTAGGCCGTGCATTCGCTCAAGCAGTTAAAGAAGAGTATGTGACAAGCCAAACAGCAGCCAATGCTCGTCGATCCAATTCATCCAGTGACACTAGTCAAAACACCTACGTACAAAATGCTGGAATATCGTTAGACGAGGCAAAACAAATATTGAATGTTAAAGATATACATGATATGAATGCTCTGAATAAGAATTACGAACACCTTTTTTCTTCAAATGCTAAAGAGAAAGGTGGATCGCTGTACTTACAGTCAAAGGTAATTGTAATATCTGAACTTCTATATGTCATAGCCATGTTTCTCAGATTGTTTGCAAAAAATCTAAGGTGACGGTTTTCAACAAATGAGCGGGTTTCAAAGTTTTCTGTCTCAGTGTGCTTTCAGATAGAGGTAGAAACACTACTGAAATCCAGCAACAAAGTCTGCTACACGTCCATGCTGCTTTAACACTTCATAACACAAGCTGTTTGCACATAACAGAAGGGTTTGAATGAAAGTCCACCAATCTATCAGGAACAGTACGTGTTCTTGAGATGGTTTTTTATTTCCATCTCTAGTTTTTTTTTCTTTTCATCAGATGTTACTTAGCTCATTGCAGTTACGGAAATCATTTCTTGCTCTTCTTCATAAAGCACCAGTTTTTTCAATTTATCATATTCGTTAGATATTCTTTTAGAATTTATTTACCTCATTAAAAGAGAGTGAATTTAAATGTGTGGTCAGTAAAGTCATTAATTAACAGAACGATGAAATTGAAGCAATAGGAAAGGACTAATTGTGCTGCAAGCAATGCTGGTGTTTATAACGGCTTTCAGTCGTTCTGTCTATTTTCATCGATATAGAGATGTAATTCTGATCAAAAAGAAGTGTGTATAGGACGATTGGGTTTCCATTTCATAACTCAACTTACAGCAGTCTGACTCTAGTTGTCGTTACGGTTTTTGTGTTGAGTAACTTCATTTATAGTTTTACTGGGTACGTTTTACAGAGATGAGGATTTTTTCTACTAATGAAACAACCACTTCAAAAACTATTGAATCAAATCAAATCTTATGGTCTTGTTATTTGTTTCCTCAGAATTATGTGGCTCTAATATATCTCTAGAGATAAATTAGAATTGTGATGCTTCACACTAAGCATCTTATCCATGAACTAACTAACAGGTTGTACTAATTTTAGCAGTCGGAATTCCTAACCTTAGTAGACTGGTGCCTAATGTTCTTATCGAGCACATGGTTTACTCTGAAAGTTTCAATCCACATTTTTGACCTCAGGAGTTAATGTTGAATTCAGTGCCAGAGAGAAGTGTAGGACTCCTGGATACGATCCAATAGACAACTTAAACTAGTTGCTATGTTGATCGTTTCTTTCTGTCAGTCTAGCATTCCATTTTCTTCGATGACCGATCAAGTGGTATCGTTTTTTCTCTCGTCAGCAACAAGTTTGACGCATTTATGAGGTCGTTAGTGAGTTATTTACCAATTCATAATGCTTTTCATTTCCTATGTAGTACAATCTGCAGGTTTGTGGAGATGTAGTAATTAATTTCAGGTTGGAATTCATGGACTGACATCAGTTGGAAGAACACTGGAAACCTGAAAGCACTGGACAACTGTTTCGTCCTAGTATGGGACTCCTCAGCAAGACGCTCCATGACTCCGCCAGGGATCAAACCCTGGACCTCCAGGTTACGCGGTCAGCACCTTACCATTAAACCATAAGTGTTCTATAGATGTCTTTTTTTGCATAGAAAACAACTGTACGTTATCATTGTTAGTACCGGAAAATTGGCTAGTGTTAATTTTTTTTTTCTGGTTAATTTTCTCTTGCATGTAGGTGTTTCGAGCAAAAGAACGTATTGATGAAGAGTTACAGATTGAACAATATGAACGGCGGCGAAAATCAGACAATAAAGATAATCAAGCTGGGACTTGACTTCATGTAGAGGATAAAGATTTCTTTTTGTTAGAAATCTTTTCTTTTAGTATAAATTTACAGACCAGTCAGTATGACATCTGTTTTCCGAGTAATTCACTTAAATAAGATCGTTGTACAGTATTAACTATAGAGGAATAAATAAGTTATTTGACTCAGCTTTTTGGGGCCTATTATTGTTTGTTACACTAACGAAGGTGAATCTAGGAGGCTAATTAAAGTAGAAAGTGATAAGGGTAAACCGTTACCATACATACTTGGGACGATTATCATCCTATGTTAAATTATTTTGTCGATAATTGAACCTGTAATGTAGGTGTTCAGCCTATACGGTTAATTTCATTCGTAATCAGTGAGCTTCTTGTTCAGTCCAGTTCAGAAATACTATAGATGTTAGTGTATTGCGACGTCATATATATATTAGATAATAAGAGACGATGTCAGTTTAACTAGTGACTTGGTATCAAGTATCCAAACCCCTGAAATATGAACTTACTGTGTGCTAACTAAATCCATGTGTTGTCCACATTTTTCGTATATTTATGTATCAGATGCTTGAACGCTGATAGATTGGATTCATATCTCTAACTTTCATTATTTCTAACCACTTGAACAAGTATCAAGTAGTAAAAAGACTAATGAGTTAATCTGAGTGGGTTGGTTATGCACGTTAAATAAAGTTCTATGTATGTTTACAGATGATCATGGATTTGTAGAATGTTCTACAGCAACTTTTATCATCATAAATAGTAGATTTATGACGTTATTTTTGTATGATGATATATACTCGTAGTTGTGAAAACTTTCGAACTTTCAATCTACACTGGTTAGTTTTTGTTGTTAGGCAATTTCCGCCTTTGTTATTGATCCGAATTGTAGAGTTTTCTACACTATAGTACAAATGCATTTGATCCAGCTTACCAATAAGAGAATAGATTAATAATTGCTTTATTCTAGACAGTGTTTTTGATATAATATAGACTTATCATTTTATAATATTTCAATAGATATATTCCTTGTATAATATGTCAAAATGAAGTAATTATGGCATCTAAGTAATGTTAATAGTAACAGTATAATAAGCAATAGTGTATAACGAACATTTATTATTAGGCTATCGTCTAGTTTGTGGGTACGTTGTTGCTCAGGGGGATGAATAGGAAGGTAGCTGTAAGTTTAGTGGTGGAGGTTCATTCAGCTTGTATGACCAGCTAAATATTCTTGACATAGTTATATGATATACTGTTATGTGCTCAGGTACCCATTACCATCTACTGTGGTGTTTCTTGTGAACTTGCGAAATAATAGGTTGAGGATATTTTAGGAGTGTACGACAGTACGTATTACGACTTGTTAACATTTGACTAACTAAACAAGATTAAAAGGAGCAATTTGATGCAAAATATTTTCGATGGGAAATTTTCGATAGCCTGAAATTGAATCAGGCTGCCGTAAAAGTTTTCCAGTTACAGGTGCTTCCGGAGTTTTCGAAAGTATTTTTATTTGTGACCTTTTTTCCGAAACAATTCATCTGCATTATGATAAAGTGTCTAACCCTATTGTCTAAGCATTTTCACATGGCGCAAATTATTTACAGATACTTGCTAAAGTATCAGATGAATAAAGGTAAAATGGTTTGTGCAAAAGCTAATAATGGATAGGAATCGAGTACACCAAGTTTTCATCCCTCATTCGTTAGGCAGCAAGCTTGACGGTTAGATAGTTACAGTGTTCGCTGTATCATTAAAGAGTTTGTATATTGTTTCAATAGTGACAGGTGATTAAGGCTAAACAAACTATGACGAATAATATGATCTGAGAAGTATAAAGGACTTAGTTTTACTTTGTATTCTCGCGATCTTGAATCCTTCCCTAACCCTGGTCTAAACCTGGTAAATTTGACTATGCTGACTAAAAGTCGGTGAAATATATTTGTATAAAAGCATTATGGTTCAAATTTACAGACTGGCAAACTCAGTTTCATTCTTCAATGAATATGCGATTTCGATGATACTGGGAATTATCTAGCTAGCTTAAAGCGTTTGGTTCCCAATTTTTACTGTTTAGCTCATATTATTACTGAATTAAAATCTTGAACAATGTTATTCATGATACAATTGCCTGGCAGTTTGTATAATTTAACTTTTGTGAAAACTGAGTTGTCGACTTGCATATGCTGCATGCACTTCACAGAGTAGTTTAGGATAGAAACTAACAATATGGAGAGTCTTCTGGATACTTTGAGTGGGAATTCGAGAGTATTTAGGATACATCTCTCACCACCCAAATGTTAGTGAATACCATAGAACTAGTCAGTGTTGGCTCCCCCATCTAATGGATAGAAAATGAAGTGGTTGATCGTGTTAGCCACTTCTTTTACCTGGGATATCGGACCAGCGCTACCGGGTTAGCGACCGACGAAACCTTGGCACGGACACATAAGGCTCGCTTGGACTTCATGAGCCCAAACCATTTTTGCTACCGCCGTAGCATCCGACTGCTTAATAGTGATGGAGTGTATTACACTTAGGTTCACTCTCTTCTACTCTACGGCTATGAAAAATAGCCATTGACGACAGTGAACTTGAGCAGACTTCAGGTATTCAACTTCCACTGCCTTCGCAGCAATAGCTGTGTGCCATGGTACTATCATGTTAGTAATACAGAAGTCAAATGTAGAGGTGTGGGTAAAAGTGGTTAGTGTTTGATGGGTTTGTGACCCTTCATCGACTGAATGAACCATGTAGGGATATGTCAACTTCTGTATCGGGTCCCGTTTGTTGGTGACTGTGTGATATAGTTTAGAATCTATTTAAGTGATGCAGATTTATTTACACCATGTATTCATCCTAATCTTCAATTCACATTTAACTACTGTTCTATCTCCTTTAATTCTGTGTTTTCTGACACTTCTGTCCATCTTGTGTCTCGATGTGAGTTACAATAAAGAAGTGCACACTCCTATTGTATTCTGAGATAATAATTTTCGGCGATAAGATGTCCAAGGTTAAAACTAAAAAATAACCACTGTCATAGAGTTACAAACTTTTTATCTCTTTTTATATCTTGAACGTCTTGCTGCCCTTTATTTATATTTCTTGTTAGCCTTTTTACCCCGTGTACTGATATGATATGTGCAACGACTCACTTTATTGCATTTTCATTTCCATCTCTATCAATACTGACAAAAATGAAAACAGACAATTGAACTGTTTGAAGATGATTCAGGTGTAATTGTTCACTGGCAAATTTGATCAGAAACTAAGCAGTGTAATAAACATGGTCATCTGTAGACAACTGATGACAGTGGGAAAGTTTTTGCGCTTACAACTGGAAGGAGACGCTGCAAGTGACATTCTGTCACAGCACCTAGCTAGAGCGGTTCATAGGATGTTTTATGTAGGTCGACCATGCTCAACCCGAGACTAAAGGATAGTCTACATGGCTGTTCATCTAGCATAAATCAATTTAACTGTTTCTATGGAACTAGTTACATAGGGCGTACGATTAGGCAGATGCATCTCCGGCTATAAGATCATTTACTAGCTTGGTTCGGAAAAAACAAAGTGAAAAGTTCAGTGCTGCCGCACCTAGTAGACACAAGGCATTACATAGATGCTAATAAAGCTTTCAGTGTCATTCATCATGTTCCAAAAATGATATCACTAGTAGCTCACCAACCCCGCTGAATATAGCGAAGGCTGTAGTAATAAGACTGATCAAACTTGAAATCTGTATTCAGAAAGATTATGTCCAAGCGTTGTTTCTCCCTCGACCTTCAGTAAAGTAAAGGCCACTCCTACCTTTTTATTCGTTATCTTTTTGTTCACTATCGTATCATTCATTTGTGTGTGTATCATCTCGATATTGACAAGTTTAAAAAGAAAAACTCATTCCATTTAGAAAATGTATCTATCTCTAACATGGCTTGATTTCACTCTGTACAAATGCATTTTATAATTTTAGAACCTGAAGAGAATTTATTGGAAAGAATACTTTTTATTCAGATTATTGCTTTTTATCAATGTTATGATGAGAATCTTTAATTATTTGAAAAATATAATTGTCTATCTTAATCGAAGTAAAAAAAATGCACGTAAATTAATGTTTAAAAGTTACAAAAAATGCAAGCAAATTAGAAAATAGGAAAATCTTTGCATTCGAATTTGCAGGACAATTAATTAATAAAGATTAAGAAGTATAAATAATGAAACATTTTATAAGATATCTATCTATCTAAGTTACTAAGTAAGTGACCTTGTTTTTCAATGTGTATGAGTAATGATGCTGTAGTGAAAAGAACCTGAAGAAAACAATGAATGATAGATTAATTTATGAGTTTAAAAGTCGCTCTCATCAACAGTTGATTAAAGTTCAACAAATTTCTTAAACAGATTTAAGTTAGTTAAACACGTATTTTCTTTCATTTTACAATCGCTGTATAAGTTAATACCATACGTTTTGAGCACAATTAATTAACACTGCTAGATGTTTTAACTTCTCGGTAAAAATAGTGCTTAGTACAATAAACGAAAGGTGTCAATTTATATCAGTATCCAGGAGAAGTTAAATTTATTTAATACTAAATGACCTTTCGATTTCGTTTCGTGCCTCTTCTTCATATAATAAGATACGAGTGGAGAGTGTAACTCACAATCCAGTCTTTGCTTATGTACTAGTCTACAAGTGATACCTTTGTTTGAGGCTTTGTGATACTATCTGGATACCTTGGTCTAAATATGTGAAATGGGATTCGAATTCAGGGGCTATTTCTTGAGTGTTGAGTGCTTAAACTAACCAGCTATATCCTCATATATATAACTTCTAATAACATTTATTTTGTCAATGGCTATTCTTTTATATTGCTTTAAGTCGCTTGATTTAGAGTCTAGGAGATATCATCAGTTGACTTAAGAAATGAATTTCGAATCACAAAAAATGTTAAGCGAATCCACTGTATGATCTAAAAACAGTATATAACCAGAGGAAACTTGGTCTAAAAAGGAAATTACAGCGGAATTTCTCACTTCTGTTTTTATTCACTCCAAGTTACTTGCTAGAACTAAAATGTTTTGAAATCTTGTCAAGTTTCTTTCGATAGAAAACTGTTCTCAAGGATTCTGTCATTACATATAAGTTGATCTGCATACACTGCTAATAAGCTCAGCCCGAAGTAAGTGAAACAAGCATCGGACATTCAAATTCTTGAGATCTGGAAATTGTTTGTGATTGTTGTGAGTTGTTTACGCACATCTATTATTCATAACTAAAATATTAACAAACTCACTTTTGTGATCACTTACTGGGACGAATGGAAAAACATGATTAGTCAGTAGTATAATTGTTTTTATATGATACTGTCTTTGATTGGACCGAATTGATCGGTCTCTATTGGCATATGGGCTCCTGTGCGGATGCTTCGATAGTTCCAGCTTTCTAATTATGTTAATGATGAATCGTGGCTAGCAGTGGAATTCAAGATGCGCATTTCGTCCTGTTTTGGACTCGTCAGCTGGATGTACCTGCTTCCCATTGGGTGATGTTTTTCCCACCGGGATATGGACTCTGCAGTGATCGCTTGAAACGCCAGCGCGTTATCCACTACACCACCATAGAACGAAATGTGCATCCTGGATTCCACTGCTAGCCACGATCCATCATTTACATGATTAGTCAGTGTTTTCAATGTAATATACGGACTAAGCATTTGCCTATAACCTTGATCATATGTAGTTTCATTGACATTTTATTCGTACACTAGTAACTAATGTTTGAGAAAATTTGACTGTATTGAACTTAGCAATCATTGTTCTCGTAAAATAACTGTACAAACAGCTATATTTTCGGCAAATGTTTCCGGAGAGTTAAATCTTCCTTTCCAACTCTTGTCTTCTCTGTTTTTCAGTAGTGCATAGGTAGTATTTCGAGAAGGTAACAAAAGACTTGTGCACACTCGTGAAGTACGCCACACATAGTCAGTGCGTGAGGGCTAATCATACTACTATCTGGCTGCACAAAACTTCGATGGGTGGAGTGGTTTTCGAGCCCGCCACCCACTGCCTAAAATACACATTGCTGTGTCAAAGTGTTAGGAGTGTAGAACAGCAGTCCCTAATTCGCAACCCCTTCATTGAGGAGAAATCCTCGATCGAGTATTATTCTGTCACTTCACAGTTATCACACTATGTAATTTATATTACCATTTGACCAATATTTCAACCAGTTAAAATTTATTTAACCCTTGATTGTCATGTCTGTAGTGTTTGGTTTGTAAGAGGCTCGTTGTGTTGCTATAACCTAATACGTGACAAGTTTTACACTAATCAGTATTCGCCAGCACCTTACCTACGAGTAAGTACCGATAAGGACAAATGAAGAAATATGATAGGTATTAAAAGCTTTCAGAAGAGCAGTGTATTCATTAGTCTGCAGTCAAAAAGTTATTTTGGGAGGAAGTTACGACTTAACTGACTGCATGTGGCGGAACTACTGACTCTTAGTGTCCAGCTGTTAATCATGATAAAGATCGGAAATGGCAGCCATTTAGTAGCGGATGTCTACATGTTAAAACAAATCTTATGAGAGTTAAGACACTCGCTAACATCTTAGCGAAATATTTAGCTAATATTTAGACATTTTAAATATTGATTTATTTTAGGCTTGACGGTATTTTGGTGCCGAGGAGTCGGAGATCTCTACTATTCGGGTTTAGTTTATGTTCTCTTACATAACATGCTTTCCACAGCGTATAATAGGTTATTGGTATGCTTTCTCCCCAAGCAAGCTCGAAAAAAATGAAAATATATCAAGACGTTTAGGCGACACTCCTATCGTGTAAATTTACATTGGAACACGTCTTCAAGTGCATTTAAGCCTCACTTAGATTTAATCTATACAGATGGTAGACTGGTTGGTAAATAGTTAACTTGGTGAGATGTTGAATTACCTCGATCTGTTACTTTTAGTGATGGTATCTCAAAAGCACACACAGAAGGTGAAACATATGGAAATACATTTGGTTCACCGTCTATAATTTCTTCTAAGTGTCATTTTCCAACCCTCCCCACCACTACTTGTGTCACTTGTCGTCCAGTCCAAATGGACGATGATCAGCACACATGGTTGGTTGCACGAAGTCGGAAAGTACTATAAACCAAAGCAAACTGGGAAAACGTTACTTTATCTCCATGATGAGCTATGATAACGTCTTGTCTATTGTAACGGAGAATGAACCAATCTCGATGGAGAGCTTTCGTCTTGCCGCCTTTCCGTCCTTGGAATGTTTGAAGGACTTCTTAAAGGTATGCGAGGAGCAGATGAACACGCTCTACGTTGGATTAGATTCACATTTACAAGGTGGCCGAAGAGCCTGCGTCGAATTTTTTTCCTTTAAGGCTAGTAGACACTGGTCAATGGAGGGTATAGTGACCAGAAAGTCAGTTACGTTTTTTTCCCCTGTATATTTTATAGAAAATCCTTAAAATGCTCTTCTCCAGCTTTCATGCTTGTCAAGTTTATAGTCTCCTGGGAGCAGCTCATGTTTTCCTCTGTTGGCTGTTGAAAGAAAATGAGCTGCCTAATTCCTCAGTGGAGAACTACATTCTACAATCAACTTCATCCCTCTTTCTATCAAGAAGCCAACTATGGATGGCGGTTTTATCATTTTTCACCAGCGAACAGCAGTTCCTCATAGTCTTTCGGCATGAACGGAAAATCTCCGATATCAGGCAACCCATGCCGATAGACTCAAGTCCCGAATATCCTGCAGTATACATTTTATCAGGTGGTTCCGAAGAAGAAACGGAAGTGGCGACTGAAGCTGTGAGTAAAATCACAGTGGGAGTCGGTAGAACAGCATTAACTCAACCTGTAAATAACTTGAATGTTGACATAAATGCCAGTGTTTACGATCAGATGGGGGCAATGGAATTGGTTATTCGGAACTTTGAGGAGATGGACTACGTGGCTATCAACGAGAAGGAGGATTATATTTACTCGAAAGTTCGCGACATATGGATCCAAAATGATGCGCCAACCTCCATTTCAAATGCCGGTACATGGATAGCATGCCGTTGTCATGCTATACTCCAAATATTCTTTTCATGGAATCCAGACTCAAGAAGCTTTTGTCTGGATTCTCCCGCATGTGGGGATAACCCCTGGCATCACAAATGTGATTTGAGTTGCTTCTTTCGTTCTTTAAAATGAAATTAATCCACTTTTGCAGAGATTTCTAGATACTGCTATTTTCGAGAAAATGCAGTAATATTGCACTAAGTAGAAAAGTGATTTCATCTAATAAATGAGCATGATTTTCTAAGCCAATCCAAGCACAAATAGCTTAATCGGGCTTAACATATCAGATTCTTTTAGTCCAATAGAAATGTCTGTTGGTTACGCAAACACATCATCTTTTAAACAGAGAAACTAACCAATCACATTTCCTTTCCTATTTTTCTCTTCACCCTAAGTAAATTAGGCAGGAGAAGTATGCTGGTCAATAAAGAACAAACAAACAGATGAATAGAAAAACAGAATCTCACACAAAGGAGCACTAAATCAGGTTATCACATCCCTACTATTACTCAATGTAGGGGTAGAACCTGGGTACTGTGGTAGTGTAGGGTCCTATGTTGATTTGTCTGTTGGGTTATTCACACAGTGTGATGGTAATGATTAATGGATGGTGTTCCGAATAGAATTTATTGTTTGTAATTATATCAAATGTAACTCCACATCCTTCCCACCCTGCTTCTTCTCCTTCATTTATCGTATGGGTAGTAGAATTATCTAAATATCTTTGCAACAAGTATTGAGTTATGCCCGTGGAATATGTTCTGTGTTGGTTCGGTAAACAAAGTTTCACCAGTCAGTCACCCCCCCCCCACATAACTAAGTTTTAAGGACTGTTGATCTGTCCCATCTTATTGTGTTGTTGTGTGTAATCACATGCCTTGCAATGGTTGAGCTGTCTTTGTCTTACTATGGTCTACAATTCTAGATTTGGTTAAATGTTTGTGGTATTTTATTTTAACTAACCACGGTCGACTGCTTTGACCTATATACTTGACCTAAAAATTGTTGTATGGAAATTGATAAACTGAATTATTTTGTCTAATGGGTTCTTGAAAATCTTTTGGCCTACAAAACGGGTTTCTGGATGAGTTTTTGGGTTTAAATGCCACCATAATCCTAGCACTATTAAGAATCCTGGGTAAACTGTCTGAGATACATTTTTAGTAGAGTAGCACCACGGAAGTTTCGAATTTACGTTTCTTATTACTGCCATTATTAGGTATGTATATCATCAGTGTCTGTCTCACTCATCTGTTTTCTACAATTTTATATACATTTCTGGAACAGTTTATGTGGATAGTTACTGAGTACTGAGGTTTCTTCTACATTTCTTGTTTCTTATGGTAGATTTTCCGTTTCACTACTCAGAAATTTTGCTCTATTGTTTATCCATCATGTATGACTGATCAATATCCGATTTCAATTTCACTCTGACAAACTTCATTGAGTTTGGATTGCGATATCAAAGTCATGATTATCAGCTACTAGATTCTACAAATATTGACTCTTACATGGTATTTCAGGAATATTCTGTATGGTGACAAGCACCAATATTTGTTCAGTATTCCGTCTTCAGTATGTAAGAAAATGGTTAGAAAACAACCCGCCTTTACAGACATTTGCTCAAGTTTTAAAAAAAGCATCTAACAATAGTCTTTTCATATAAATGAATATATGGGGCTATCTACTCATTCACTTACAAGAACAAAGAACAAACAATATAGAGTAGTGCAGTATTCAGGATTTCGAGGACAGTGAAGAGTGATGTTTCGAGTGAATGAGGTGCGGGTTGATTTGCCGTGTAACACTTCTTAGTTACTTCAGTCAATACAAGCTAGTAAATTCACTGACTTATTTACTCACCCTACTAACTGTTCTACGACTAACCTCCGCGATAGTCGAAATGTCGTTCCATGAAACACTCATATGGAAACATTATGGACATTCATCCTAAATTATTTGTTTCCATGAATGCAACCGAATATTATTATGTATTGGTCTATATTGTAATATTTGCTGATGAGTTTGCTATTCACATGATGCACTCATGACTTTCAATCATTAGGTTGAAACTATTAAAAGGATATTTTCCTCACTTTACACTTCAAAGGTAAAATTATTTTACCGAAAGAAACACTGAATTCTTTTAATAGTTAGTTTCAATAAACCCAATCTACCCGAATTTGTTATTAGAATTTCTGTAAAATATGATAACAGGCTGGAATGTATCAAAATAAAACACCAAACCTACTTGGTCGATTGAAGACAAAATTATTTTTCACATACAGTTAGCATGATAGTTTGGTAATTTGTGTAAGTGACAAGTAAGAAAAAGGCTGTTTAAGAAAGAAAGTATTATAAAAGTTAATTGTATATCTATTGTCGGTGGTCGATTTGCATAAAATGATATGAATAAACATGAGTGTTTCTTAGAAGTAAAATCTTCATCCTAAGCAAGCAGTAAATCATGTTTACTATCTGCTTTACTTCTTCTTTTTCTCTTCACACGGCTTTCTATGACATCCGACTACACTTCTCTCGATTTCGGCATCTTTCGTCTTACTGCTTTCTTTCTTGGTGAGTCGAGTGCTTAGTACTGATCGAAGTCTATGGATCTAGTCTAGCAATGTTACCACTAAGTGAAGTGATTCGAACCCACAGTACACTGTGTTTCGGTCTCTGACTTCATCAATTAGTGACCACCGAGGGGACACTAGTTTCGTCATGGTTGTGGATATGCCTTGCTGATGAGTGCTAACAAGTATGAAACCTAGATCCAGGTCATCCTGCTGAATAACTCCCATCATCTATGACCACATCATTTATTGTTCTCTTCGATTCAAATGGTATGACGAATGATGGCAGTGTGACAGAAGTGAAGAGTAGCACTGAGATTGACACACTCAAACACGAATCAGCAAAATCGTCAGATACTTACATGAATGCAATATAAAACATACCTTGATGACTGAGGTTTATGTCGTCGATTGGCAGATGTTGGTCTAAGCTTAGTTGGTTCATCCAACTGTTTAAGTTGATAATTAGTAGAATATGATGTTATGAATTGATTTTCATTGGATAAATACGGTTGATTTAAACAATAATTTTGCCAATTTTCCAAAGATGTTTTATCATCATTGAGAATTGAACGTTTTGGTATATGCATTAACCAATCATCTGTTGTGTTAACATTCAACCACCGTGTAATGGTTGCGTTTTTTATTCTACTGAATTCATCTTTTGATAAAGTTGGTTATGATATAATCCAATGATAGGCAGTCATAGACGATGTTAATCCTGGACGTTTTATTTTATCATATGAATTTTCTAAATTTGATGAGTTTATCTTACTTGTGAATTGGTCATTGGACATCAGTGTCTCTTTGTTTATTTTGATGTCAGTGTTTGTAGATTCAATTGATTCACGTTCTGATTGGTTGTCTTCTGTGGAGTTACCCTCAGACATGTTCAGTTAGTTCTACTGAAATAAGTAATAAGTGGTTAGATAGAAAAACAAAGTCTCATTGTTTTATTATTTAAAAGGAACGTGTATGAAGTGTATTTAACTACTCATATACATTTGTACTTAACTGTCATGGTGAAATATCTGTTTGAGATAGTAAACCGCTGGTGAGTAGTCCAGTGGACGATTGAAATATATGCAGGATTTTCGGTTAACAAGCCAATAAGGTACAGTGTACTTTGAGGTTTATGAAGATATAATTTTTAAGGTATTCATCATGGACTGATAGCAGTCGGAGAACTCGAATTTCTAAAAGGAAGCTATGACCTTTGGAGTCAACCAGCCGGAGGTGAACTAGATGCCAACTGAAGACCCAGGTGGAAAGTCGTGCTATATCGTGGATTGACAGAGGTATGAAACTGGGTGCTTGAACTCCGACCCGGTGGTTAAAGGGTTAAAATGCCTGCCTGCGAGACCTGAAGACTCCAAGTTTGATTCCTAGCAGGGTCATTCGTGTATACTTTTGAGGAGTCCTAAACTAGGACGAAACAGCTGTTTAGTGCTCTCAGGTTTTCAGTCATTCTCCAAGTGACGTTAGCCCGTGATGAATACTACAAACTGAAAACTGAATTAACTTATATTTACGATGTTCATTCGCTCGACGTAACGGATCAGTATTTTGTGTTATTTGATGAATTAAGCGTAAGATAAACTCTCAATGAGCAGTTTCATGAACTGGTATTATTATTCATCTTTTAGGCTTCTATCAGCCTATTTATACGTCAGTAAATTTTGTAAACTATTTTCTTACAGCATATTCTGCACATGTTCTAACAAACTGAGCGTCATCATTCCTCCCGTGAACATTCATTACTAAAGAATTTTCATCAGGTCCTAATCAACCCACTGATTTTCGGTTTACTCAATATAGCTGATTATAAATTACCTGGCTAATATTCTTAAGTATTTACCTCAAACTAGATCTCAGTGATATAATTATCTTTACTGTTGTTGAAAATCTTTAATACCTAACTACTGTATGACATTTCTGATGAATAATATCTACCAGTGAAATCCAGGAGGTGCGCTCTATTCTATTTGAAACTCATCATCTGAGTGGTCCTCTTCCCTCCCTCAGAGAGTGATATTATTCCGACTGGTACTGCAACCCAAAATCCATCGCTTCAAATGTTATTTATTAGTCCAATGAGTTGTGGTAGCCACTCCTTGTTTGACGGGTAAAGCTATGATTTTATGTTTTGTAATTCCTCGTCGTTGATTGAACTCTACTGATTGGCCATTATTGGCATAAGAGCTCTTGCGCAGAAGCCTCGATATTGCCAGTAATTCCACTTAAATAGTAATGAAGGATAGTGGTGTAATCTGGAATGCACATCTCGTTCTATTTGAACTCAGTTGCATATACCTACTTCCTGATCAATTTCAGCCAACCAACGACGGGAAATTACAAGCTGTTACATCTGATTATTCTATGCGAATTGTTTCTCTCCTTTCATATTCTTTTTTCCGGGGATCATAATGCCTTTCAATATTGATTTGTTATTTTTTCTGTGATTTCGTGAATTTTGGGTTTGAAGTAATACACTTTTATGAAAAGTTGTATATCATTTTGTGTATGCACCGTTATTTATGTTTACTAGTCTGTTGAGGTAACTACAAATACATAATGATATGCGTAATCTCACAAATACTTTGTTTATCAAAAGAGGTAACTGTAAGAAAAAGTAAAATAAAGACACCTACGGTTACTCTAAACAAATATTTCCCAATTTCAGTGTAATTCAGTTCGTAAAAAGATCTACTTAAAGCTTTAAGTTGGAAAGGATAGAAAGAACACTAAAGAAATTCACCAGTAATTTTAAAAAGCAGCATATTACGCATTTTCTTAAGTTTTGGTAATATAGCGTAGGAAGTATCTCATAAAATACAAAATCAGTATGGTATTTATCATGGAATGACATCGGCTGGAGAACCATTGAAAATCTGGGAGCACTGAGCAGCTGATTCGTTCTAGTATAGGACTTCTTAGGGGTACGAACCAACAACCCCGCCAGAAAAGACCTGAAGGTGCTGAGTTCCATCCCTGGCGAGGTCGTGGATACATACTGCTGAGGAGTCCCATACTGGAACGAAACGGCCTCTCAGGTTTTCAATGGTTTTCTAAATGATGTCAATTCGTGATGAATACGCTGTGTTAATATTTTACAGTTTAATTACTTAAAATTGTATGCCACCCATGAGAGACAACATCTTCATGGATTTTTATAAGCCATAGATCCTAGGAAAGTTTAGTAACTACTGAAATTTTATCAGCTGAAACATAAGGTGGTGTACACGTTTGTATTGTCTCACATTCGATAGATGAATAGCTTAGAGAGACAGTTATTATTTTTTTTACCGCCAAAAATTTATTGTCAACTAAAGCAAATCAAGAATCTTTTCTGTTAACTCATGTAAACTAAAAGATCTCGACATATCACACGACTATCAAACAGATTAGTATTATTATAAGTGGAAACTTATGTGCTCAAAAGAGATGATTTAATACCAACAAGATTTCAGAGAGCAGAAGAACGTTTGCTACATACAAAAACTTAGAGAAAACAAGTAATAGTTAATACAGCGGTTTTATAAGGATTCGTAAATGAATTGCTTCAATCAAAAGCCCTGAATACATCAAGAAAATAAAATCACGTGGGCTAATCCTGTTAAGAAATCCGTAAGTTAAAAGGATTGAAACTGATTAGGCGTTTCATGACAGTGGAATGGGAATAAGCACACATCTGCACAGAGAGATTTTGGCAGAAATATTGGCACCGACTAATAATAATTTAGCAATCAGAAAGGATACCTAGGATCATGAAGGAGTTAGATGGTGGAAGTTAATCAGCAGGAAACCCTAGACCTAGGTTTCGTCCTTGTTGGTATTCATGACCAAGACGTGTATCTCAGTGTCTAATAACTTTGTTTAATGATCACAGACCAAAGACTTCGATCAGTGCTAAGCACTAAGAAAAGCCAGCTACTACACCGGTTACCTCCTGGTCAGCAACTCGCATATCATGAAGGACTATTCGCTATGGTTATTTAACAGGATTAAATGTCTAGTAAAAAAATGACATGTATCTAAACTGCGCATCTTGTTGTATTTTCTTCATTTAAGAAATACGCATTCACCCTTTACTGTCTTGAGTCGGTAGCAGTTATTACTGAAATAAATTTTCTCGAAAAATGAAACGGTTTGACCTCATACTAGTATATATTTTTTCAAGGTAGCATTCGTCACAGACTGGTATCAGCTGGAGAACCATTGAAAATCTGGGAGCATTGAATAGCTGTTTCTTCCCTAGTATCAGACTGCCTAACAGCAGGCACCCACTGCCCTGCCAGAAACGGAACTTTAAGTCTCACAGTAAATGCGTCAGGCATTAAGCCACTAGGTTGAAGTCCCATAGGCCACAGTCCGTGATGAAATCACCTTAAAAATAAAATCCCAAATAACTTCAAACTATATTACTGCATAGTGCTCATTAGTGACATGTTTCGAGATGGATATCTCGAAGTTCTAATGAAAAGCCATGATCTGTGAGATCAGTCAGTCGGAAGTGAGGCGAATACTGAGAGTTCACATAATCCGTGAAGGTTCTAAGTTTGATTCTTGGTAGGGTCCTGGGTGCATAATGAACAAAACAGCTGTGCAGTGCACTTACATTTCTAGTGGTTCTCCAAGTGATGTCGGTCTGTGATGAATACAATTTTAAAAATAAAATCCCTGTTAAACTCAAGCTTATACAGAGAGACTGAGGTCGTGATTTTCTTTATTTTGGTTTGAATGAGTGGAATTTACACTGTCCATCTGTATACCAGTAACATACTTCTGTACGAATACTATTACAACTTAAAGATACTGGAAGGACCCATATTTCAGTGTATTAACGATTAACGATTGTTTGTTGACGTATTGAATGATAATTATTTGAATGAACGAATCGAAAAATAATAGTTCACTGTATCACTGATTTCATAGTTATGTAAATAATTCGCAGAAATTAGGGTTGAAAACATATGTCGTACTCAAAGAATCAGTAGTTAGAAGGGGAAAATACTTTGAAGACATCCCGACTGACAGACATGAACGCTGAGCGACTGTCATTAGGTTTCAAGTAGGTTAAACATTTTATGCATATTTCACGTTTTAATTTGAATAATTTGAGGCATTTCCTCTTCTTGTGACATTTCGCTTATCACATTTGTATAATTAAGAAGAAATATGACCTAACCGCTTGATTCCATAAAATTGGATTACCTGATCTGGTAGAGAACCTTCCTCCATTGGCATCTTATTCATGTTCTCTACACTGTTGAACTGTAAAGAATAGTAGGATCTTTAGAAATTTCTGAATGTTTATTAAGTCGATAAATCTCTCTAGGCAAATAAGTCAGACAATTGATGGAAAACAAAACAGGGTGGCTGAATTTATGCTGAAGAATCCTTGTGAATCTGAAAATTACTTTTCATCACTTTTCATCACCAAATTTACCCTCTCTATGGGAAGAGTAAAACAGTGAATCAGTTAGTTACCTTTCCTTTTCAATCGAAAAATTCGTTGTCATCTAACTGACATAATCTACTTCCATGCATATACAATAATTAATTTTCAGTACTGATTTCTACCATTGTCAAACAGTACTGGCTTTGTTTCGTGAAGGTGGCAACATTTTCAAAGAGACATTTGACGCTGTTTAAAGTACTCTTTGTTTTAGAACTAGGGGCTTGACCCTACAAACACTGTTTACCGTGAGCCATAGACATGTGAACAGTCTAATTAAAATACATCTTTGAAATATTTTGACACCAGTACGGATTTCATTTTTAAGTTTTTATTATTCATGAACTGACTTCAATTGGGAAACCATTGGAAACCTGGGAGTGCTAGATATCTGTTCCACCCTTGTATGGGACTCTTCAGCAGTACGCACCC